TGCTCCCTGGAGAGTTGGTCCAAGAGGAGGACATTTCTCTTAAATCAGCTGAGGGCATGAAAACTGCTACTGCTTGTAGGTTGTCAGGAGAATCTCCTGTTAGACCAAGAAAGATGAGATAAAGTGTCAAAATCTCTAACATATTATTAATTTGGTTTATTACTAGTGTATTTTTGGCATCCCCCAATCAAACACTCTCAGATCCTTCTCAAATATGCACAAAAGCAAGTGAAAAGAGAAGAAAAACCTAGGAAACGTGCACTTAGTGCTATTGCGTACATGTGCCTTAAAAATCCAGAATCATAAGTTAATGGAGAATTTCTGTGAAAAGATGGATGTTACTTTCCCCATTTAGATTGATTCTAATTACTGCATTTGATACTTCTGCTTTTGTAGACACAGGGTTCAACTGTTTGTCCCTTCCTTCCCACTATAATGCTATAAACTTGTGCAAACCTTGCAATGCAAAGAAATACTACTATATACACAAACAAGAAAAAGAAAAACACATTGGAAATACAGAGAAGTTGCTTCAATGAATGAAAAGAAAAAAGTATTCAACACAATGTGAATGAACATCCCAGGAGAAAAATGAGGATTGTCATACAGTGATGAAAAGTAAAGTCTAGGAGACAGGACCAAAATTAACTAGAATTCTAAGCCTTAATTTAAAACAAAACAAAACAAAACAAAAACCAACCAAAAGAAAGAAACCAAGTGCCTTGTGGTGTCTGGATAAATTCCAGTTTGCTGAATTAAAGTTTGTGAAGGGCCCTTCTTTGTCTGGATGTTGTTTTAAAATTTGCATTTTATTTATCATATAGGGATATACCTCATACCACCTTAATGTTCTTCAGTTTGCAAGTAGAAGTTGATTACTGAACCTCCTGAGAATTTGGTTGTTTCTCCCATGCAAAGCCCTGAAGGAATAAAACCACCTTCCCTGGACACACACTGAGGGAATTGCTGTGACCAGGGACAGGGCTCCGGGAGGAGGGGAGCAGCGGGAGGAGTGCCAAGGGGAGTGACAGGGACACACGTGGCCTGCCCTGGCACAGGCCCCTGTTACACCCTGGTCTAGAAGCTCCAAGATCTTACCAGCTGTTATACTTTAAATCTAGACTTCAAGAGATTTCGCTCAGGGAGTGTGGGATGGTTGGGCCACCAGGAGGGTCATTGATTGAGAGCCCAGCCACAAGCCCTTCCTTGTCTTGGGATCTCAGCCATCTTGGCTGCAGGCCTAGGCCTTGCCCTTCTCACGCCACCTTCCCCCTCACACACACACACACACACACATACCCAACAGGTTCTGACCCCAAAATAACTGATCTGGGGTCTAAGGAGCCCCCACGGGTAGACAGCACCCATGGGAAGGAGGATCTTCCATCCTCTCTGCACCTGCCTGAACACTGGGACTAAAATGACAGGGGGCACAGTAACACAGACAGCACCTCTCCTCTGGGACTCTCCCACCTCCCCAGGGGCTCTGCAAGAGGACCTCGCATGGAGGTGTCGCTCAGGGGAAGTCGGCCACACTCTGTGCCAAAACTGCTCAGGAAGAAAAAATCAGGTGGGTCATTGTCCCAGGAGGTCCCTGAGAAGGGCACATGCTGTGAGGAGGAACTGTTACAAAGATGGCAAGAGGAGCTGCAGCAGGCGCAGAGAGAAACAGAGGCGATCAAGCAGCTGCCTGAAAGCAATACGTTGTGACACCGGTATTTAGGAACAGCTGATAATGGAAAAGACTGTTTTAGTGTTACCAGTGAATCTATTCAGGAGAGTTTTATTTCGAATTTTTCAAGTTTTAGTGTATTTACCCCTCATATGTACCCTCCATTTTTCCTATTGGCTCCCGTTTGCTGCATTGCAGATGTTTCCCTCATTGGTCCCTGCTGATCCTGTGTTCCCTCCCTCCTTTCTTGATTGGTCATCACCCCTTTCAGTCCCATGCTCCTCCCTGTTTTCCAGACCCTTCCTCACCCTACCCTATATAAGTCTTCCCCTGGCTTGATTAAAGCATGATAGCACAGTGACAACCTGACTCAATCTTTTACTTCACTCGAACCCTAGTTGCTGTCGCGAAACCTTTCAAACCCCAGGCTGCAGCAGGTCCCTTCTGAGGACAAATTGTTCTTTACTGCTGCACACAGGGTGTCTCACACAACCAGGGGCACCCACCATGCAGTTTTACTTTGGATTCTTACATTTCCCTCTGGCATTCAGGCACAATTGGAGATCACACATCACTACATAACACACAGGTATTACAAATTTACAAACAGCTCAAATTCTGTGGCATAACCACCCCTCTGCTTCATTCTTGATCTAAGGGAGCCTGGACTTGGTGTGGCTACAGTGTCCTTCTTGGAAATCACCACCCATGTCTGCTCCTCACTCCGGGGCTGGGAGCTGTCTCTTGTAACCAAGGTCCCCTCACAGTGCCAAACAGGAACAGAGATCCTGCAACAGAGATGTCCCATCCCACCACCAGGACATTCACCACCAAGCACCCAGCGGTGTCCCAAAGGCTCCAGGAGCAACCTCACAAGCCCACAGGTCAGCCCCAAAGGAACTGATCCCGTCCCACACCAGGGGATCTCAAGGAGTAAAGCAACCAAGGGCCATGTCCCCCACTGTTCCATTTAACAAGGGATCGAGGGCTTCTACCCACTTTGGGAAGGGAGCCCCTGGGGGCCCATTCCCTGCCACTGGGGCTGCACTTGGTGGCTGTTGGGGCTGTGGTTGCCCACTGGCAGTGGCTGATCTGGGGTGGGCACGAAGGGCGGGGCTGGCCTGGCTGTGAGAGAGCAGTGACCAGGAGACAGCAGTGACCAGGAGAGCCCTTGAAGAGGTGAGGAGGAGGAGGAGGGTGTCCATCCAGACCATGCTCACCCTCAGGAAGAGATACAAGGAGATGAAGGAAATCTGGGACCAGGTGAAGGCAATGAAGAAGAAAGTGACAAGGGCGATGCAAACGAGGAAGAGGAAGAAGAGCATGGTCTGGAGAGGAGGGCCTGTCAGGGCGGACCAGGAGGGTCTTCCTGCAGCGACTACAGGAACCCTTGGAGCACCCACGCTGCTGCCTGGAGAAGAAACGCCCTCAGAACCTTCACCTAGGCCCTGACTTAGTTTAGAAAGCCTATAGAGAG